ATTAAGAAGATCAATATTACATTGGGTTGTCTCCGACGGGCAACACATCGTCACCTTAAGGCACGTTTGAGAAAGCTTATTTAGTGCGGTGACGTTTTGAGAATGCGCCTAGCATGTTTGGGTAAACTGCTTTTTGGCAGCTTATGTGTTTTTAAAATGTTGAAAATAATGTTTTCACATCGCACCTATCTAGGTGTAGGGTAGTTTTCTGACAGCGGTATGACTTATGATTTTTTCAAATAAATAAAAATTTGTAATAGCCACCGCATCTAGCTTATAAACATATTATTTTTAATTAACTTATCAATAGATTATTCAATAAGATACAGCTGCCTCAAACAGACCCTTAGTCCTCTAGCAACTTGGTCCTCAAAAACACATTTTTTTATTAGCCTCGATTCTCTAAGAGCCTTATATGAGAAGAAAATTAACCTTTAAAGCTACCTATGAAGTTGGTTTCTGATCCCAATTCTCTTTATATATGTTAATGTGATGTATGCAATTATATTCTCAATTCTTTTTTACATATAATTCTTACTTTGCAACAATGCCAAAAACTTGTTCCTAAGCAAAAGCTAGGTAAAATCTTGACTTCGAAGCAAATAAGAATACAATTATAATATTTAAATATGAGATACTACGCAAGTATACTTATCACTATCAACTAATATAGTTAATATAGGCTTTTTTATTAAGCCCTGAATATCAAACCCACAGGAAAAATTAACAATATGCAACTTATAAAATAGAAGAAATTAGATAACAAAATTCTACTTAGCAAAATATAGCAAAATATTCTTACTTAATATTCTTACTTAAACTCTAGATGCTATAGTAGGAATGAAAGTTTGATTCTTTTTGTAATTTTTGATAATTGAAAATAAAGTAAGCAACTAATTAATTTAACTAGATATTTGCAAAATGAAGTCAATATATGAATCAGTAACAAGTATAAGAATTTTGTTGTGAAAGTATTCAATGTGTTGTGCCAAACAAGATGAATAATATTCTTTACCCTTACTAGAGATACTATAAATAACATTGGTTAATTTACAGTTTGGATAGCCTTGAAGACGGGTTAGGTAAGGAAGATACTAGCTCTCACTCTAGAGTTCCCTATTCTCTTTTCACCTGGGAGCTAACATCTCGTATGAAAACCTAAAACTAGAAATCAAATTGGGGGTTTTAGTGGGGTTTTTCGCCTGCCACTCTAAAGACCTCTAATTCTACACCCTTCAAAGTTTATTTTTGGATTTATTTGCACTAAACCCCATGACTTACATTCTCATCCATGAAATTACATTCATGAAATCAAATGTGATTCTTACTCTTACCATTTATTGACCGAGACAATACCATCTTGGATCTTACATGTTCTCACAACAGGTATTAACATCTTAATTAGCCAAATCAAGAAGTAAATGAAGTACAATATTAAAATCATCACAACTTCTTCCAACATTAAAAACTAATACTTCACACAAGTTCCATCCAATACTTAATCACTTATCATTTTAATGAAAATGATAAAAAAACTACTCAAAATTATTGGAGAAAATACAACCACACTTGAGTTTGAAAGTAGAAATCATGCACACAAACAAGAAGTCTAAATTAAAATCAAATATAGTCACAAAGATAAAAACTTATCTCAAAATCCTCTCCACCAAAGTCTTGAAGTTCCTTTGAATCTCTTCCTTCACTTACAATAAAAACTACAACTTAAAATAAAAAGAAAATTAGGCGGTAACGATAGGTGGCGACGACGTGTGGTGGTTAGCTCTGGATGGATTTCATGGATGATGATTAATTATGGATGATCACGATTTCTTCAATCCAAGTCTTTTTTTATATTTTTTTCCAAAAGGTGCCTTGGTGTCTCTTGAAAAAGTGTCCACATTCAATGAATCTTCTAGAAGTTGCCTCCTTTCAAAAGCCAATTGAATGAATTTTCGTGTCCATTAACTATTTTTCACGTTTTCACCAAGGGTTGCTTCAAACACTTCTTCAAAACTTCTTTCAAATTTAATGAATCATCAAGTAACTACTTTTGGCGCTTAAGCGCAGGGTAACTGGTGCTTAGGCGCAACTCTCTCTGTTTAACTGGCGCGTAAGCGCCAGTCCTGGGTGCCTCAGTTCATTTTCACATTTTTTTCATTTTTGCTCCAAAATTGATTCTTTTTCACTTCTTTCATCATTTTTCATCCATTTGATTATACCTGAAAGAAAAACACACAAATTTCTTTCATTAAAGCGCAATATCTCAAAAATAAGTATAAAAATGTGTTCATTAAAACTATATATTTTAGGTGTATCAGTTTTTGATTAGCAAAAAAAAACAAACAAATTTTCCAAAGTGAGAAAATAAAGAAAATCAAGAAAAAGAAAAATTCTCACAAAACAAACTTGACTCAACAACGACGAAGGGGATACACAGTACCGATATCACTGGATTGAAGAGAAAATGTGTTTCCACCTAATCATTCAGATCGAAGGATGCTTTTTTAGTAATCTCCTTCTTCGATACTCTATCTCTTTTTCAAGATCCTTCCTCTGAAAGCAACTAAGCCCCTCATTCTATTTGCAGATCTGCTTCCTGTTCTCTACAACAAAAAACATATGACACCAAGTCAATTAAAAATTTCATCTTTCTGATGAAGGAAGAAGGCTTCCAATCTCTCTTTGCAAGGGAATATCACATCAAAGGAAATGCTAAAGTCTCTCACCTCCACTCTCATGCAACCATATATAAAATATCAAATGTAGTACCAATGTTTATGTTCAAAATAAATCTTGTCATTAGTATCCGTTATATCCCCTAAACTAACTTTCATACTTGTCTCCAGAGGCAACATGAGAGGGTCTTAACAACTAAAGACTTGAGTACAAAGCTGACTTAAACCCATAGTCCCTCAAGAAGTCCTTGACAAACCTCAATGGGAGGGATTATCTGAATTAGAATAAATCTTTCTTTTAGAAAGATACAACCCCCGAGAAAAAAAACAAACTCCATAAATCATAAATGCAAGTCCGTAGACTAATAGCTGCAGAGAAAAAAACGAGATACCCCTAGAAGAATGCCAATCCCAAAACCTTGATGATGCATAAAAAGATTTGATTCCTCGTAGGATGAGATGATAAATCCCAAAGATAAGAAGACCAATTCCTGAAGTGAGCCTCTTCCTCACTTCAAAAGTCTTGAAGGGACAACATGATTTTCATTCTATCACTCTTCTCACAATATCAAATAAAAGAGATAAAAGAATTAAAGAATTAAATTTATACGCAAATACTAGTATATGAAATTTAAAATTATATATCGATCCCACCTGCCGAAGTGGCTGAGTCAAGCCCATTTGTCGAAGTGGGTGAGTCTAGCCGACATACTGATGTGACTAAATCAGCCCCATTATATTCAGCTCGTACCCAGTCTTTCTCAAGAAGGCAACCTCAAATCTATACGAGATTCAGTTTCATCACCCAGATATCGAAGAAATTTTCTGTACAAACATTGTCTGATATCAGCTGACAATATGTCTTGACCATGACATCAGTTTCCTAATAAGATGTTAGGAAAATGTCATTGGTACACTGAAAAATATACTATTGAGATTAGTTTATAGCTTTATCCTCTAGCATATATAACTGAGGGAGAAGATAGGAGAAGGGGATACTCTTCCTTCCTTTTTTTCCCACACCTAGAATTTAGATCTCCTTGTTCAAAATCATCTCATGATCTCCACATGGAGGATTATTCTCTCTTCCCTTCTTCCCCTCTCGCCTCTCCCTCTCTCCCTCTCTCCCTCTCTCCCTCTCTCCTCTCTCTCCATCTCTCTCTCTCTCTCTCTTGTTTTGATATTCTTCTCATGGCATAGGTTCTTTTTACTTAGCTGTATGTACCCACGAATACTACAGAACTCTACGTCCTAAAAAAACCAACATCACATCCCATATTATAAAGGCATCCATTAATCACAATGTTTATATTTCTCTATAATTATTAGCCTTTAAATATTATCTATGGATGTCTTATTCTATTTCATTTGTCTCTATCATCATTTTGTTTATGTTTATTTGGATGATCTAGCTCTTTGAATGGTCTCCTCACTGTTTACCACGAGTTATTATTCACATTTTTAAACCATGTCATTATATATGTGTATACACAAATTTTTTTTCTCAATGGATTTGTGTTATGGATGTATTGATTTTAGACTTAAAAGTGACGCCTTAGGATTTGTTTAGAACAGTTGCGACAGTTTGATGAAAAAAATGAAAAAGAAACTGATGTAATAGTAACTGGAGGTAACTAGATCTGATAGAAAAACATGCATTTCATCTGTAACTTCATAAAAATACATGCAAAATATAGCTGTCCAACAACAAAAATTATGATGCCGACCCGCATCGCCACTGTAGTGTCGGTCCAAACACAATATTATTTATTTTAGTAAGAATATAAATACATTCTTTAATGGGCTTATTCATCATAGCTTATTTCTTTTCTTGAGCAATGATGAGTCCAACTAACTTGCATTTAATCCTAATTTCGTTATTTTTAGTTATCCAGATATTTAGATAGATAACTATCTGCACCAAATTTCGTATGCGGTTTTCCGCACAACTGGCTCATGTCGTTGCCCTACCCACCGCTGCTCCGGGCTCCCGTTTCCAGCTGTACGTTTCCCAGCTTTCCGCCACATGCCGTTGATATCTCCGACGTATTTTATAAAATGCCCCAACCTCACCCACCTCTCATTCCCACAATTCGTGGTGGGACCCAAAAAGGCGCGTTGGTGCATTCGTGGGTCATTTGTTTTGTGGAAATGAATGTCCTCAGAATCGCTTTCCCATTTTCCTGCGGCATACTGATCCTTCTTTCATTAACTAAAAAGTGCCAGTTCAAATTACTGATTACAATAATTCAAGTAAGCCTATCACAGCTGGACTGGGCCCCACACCTCTTTCTCTCTCGATGGCCTCCCTCCATAAATCCCGACTACCGAGCTCGGTTAGTGCTCTCCTCGCCTCTGCAACTATACCTACTCCGCTGCATTTTCTGGTCGTCTTCAGGGCCCAAGCTCGCGTTCCTGGTGTGAATCTCTCTGGCTTTGATTGGAAACGATGCAGGGGGAGATAGTTTGGTGGCGAATCACTTTTCTCTTCGCTGCTTTTCTGGTGTTGCAGTTTCGAACGAGGCTGGTTACTGCTCAAGCATCGAATTCGTCGCCATGGCTGACATTGCGCGGTGAATATCTTGATTTTTATCAGTTTTTATCCTAAGTGGCTTGGTTTAGTGCTACACTTATGTCTAGGGTGGGCAATTACCCTTGGGATTTGAGATTTTTCTATATAAATAGTAGTGTTCAATATTTTCAATTTAGTAATTTGCCCGCCCAATGATTAGAAAATGATTAGATATTTAGTGATTTTGCCCGACCTAAAGAATAATGCTGGTTAGGGCCCTGCTGGCTGGATTAGTGGTTTTGGAGGCTTTGAAGAAGCTTGTTGGTTTTTACTAATTTAGGGATTTTGCGTTTCTGAGATTTGCTGTAGCAGTGGCTGGCTATGAGATCTAATGGTAATGTGTTTGTATTTTTTTTAAGTGGGAGGGCTTTGTTGATTTGACCTTAAGTAGCTGAGAGCGCTTATGTTGGTTTTCAATCAGGTGGTTTATTTGTGTGCGATATACTATATGTGTAATACTGTTATTAAGGTGGATGAGCGTCTGATAAGGTAGCTGTACCATGGTTTTAGTGACCGTTGGTGTATTATTGCAATACCATAGACTGTGTTAGGTTATTCCACATGTCGTTTGTTTTGGGCCTTATAGAATTGCAAGTTACTTTCATATGGAGATGCTTCTTGTGTGACTGGATGCTTCAATCCATAAGTTAGGTGGAACTGAAGATTAGTTGTACCGCCATGCTTAGTGAAAGATACAGTAATAAGGAGAGTCGAATTCAATGATACTAGAGAATAATCATTCCATATTCTATATGATTATGAGGTATGTTTAAGGAGTCTCATCTGGACTAGATATTTTCTTTGCTGTTCAACAATTTAATTTATCCAAAATTATCATCACTTAAGTTTAACTTCTGTTTGACAAATCAAATGTTGTTGAGACACCTAGTTGGATTGTTGTGTGCTTGAAAATTTGCGATTGTAGAGATATATTAAAGCATTGTATGAAAATCCAACACACACAAATTAAAGAAGAATTGATAGAGGGGATACTAGGGGTTTTTCCCTAGAATTTTTTTTTTTAAAAAGATGGAGTCTAACCCAATTAAAATTGTTTAACTATTCAGATATATGTTACAAAAAAAATTGTCTACTCTTGAACAACAAAAAATAATATTGCAAGAATGAGAGAATATATTGGGAAAGTGGCAACGAACCGACTATAGAGATGGAAAACTGATGACAGAGACTATGTGATGGACATCTATATTCATTAACATCGATGATGGTCACTAGTTGGTAATAGTGACCCAACAACATTAGTAGTGATAGCCAGAAAATGACAATCTGACGATGGCAATCTGACAACGACTCTGTACAGTGTTGCGACAAAGGTTGAGCAATTGTGATCCATTGATAGCGGTAGTGTACTGTGTTAGTGGCGGTGATCGGGTGACCGTGAACTGGCATAGCAATAGTCGGGAAATGATGATCCGGTGATGACCACAGTGTACTATAATAGTGGCAGATGCCGAGCATCTTTTATCTAACTAGGGTTGTCAAAAAAGTTTATCGTTCATAAGCAACTCATGTTTGTCTGTTAAATAGCTCGAGTTCCATTAGTTTGTTAAGAAAGCGAGCCGAACATAAATATTTTTTTAGCTTAATGTATAAATGAGTCGAACACGAACAAGTATTTTTTCGTTCGTGGTCAACTCATTTTGACTAAAAATAATTAAATAATAAACTAATAATTTTTATTTATATTCTTTTGTAATAATTTTTATATGTATTTTAAAAAATGTTAAATTTTGTTATTTAAAAAAAATATTTGGGTGATATAATTATATAATATAAGTTGTGTTAGATATGTAAATGCATAGAATTTTGGTGGTATGTATGTAAAAGTCTCTCTCAAAATTTAAAATAATTAAAAAAAAATATTATCATTATATAACCATGTTTTTACATTTAGAAGAAAGCGTCCATCGTGTGGCATTTGTGGTATAGTCAAAGCTTTGGAGGATTTGAATTTTGTCAATCTAGTCATGTGGTCCCAGCAGATGGGAAGCGCGAACGATGGAGACCCCACATAATTTCTAGCATGTTTATTCCCACATCAGGAACGATGAAAAATCTGTTGTGAGAAAAGCTTTATAAAAGAATAAGTTTCCTCAATGCAAGAAAAAAAATGAACTATATAGAATAGCGGAAGTGAAGCATCCGAGTTATGAAACAAATTTAGAATATTTTTTAAATTAATAATAATAAAATAATTAATCACATTCTTTAGTCCTTTGAAATGAGAAAAGTAACTTTAGGCCATACATGAGCTCAATTCAAACAAATGCGTTTGAATCGAGCTGACCTAAGTAGGCTATGTACAATTCACTTCAAACACGAGTTAAGCATAACAAAAAAAAAAAAGAAGAAATCAAACAATATGAACACGAATAAGTCTTGGGCTCTTTTAAACTTGGCTTGTTTACACACCTAGATTCAGCATAGTGGCATCAACCCGATGATGATGGCAAGGCACATCAGTGGTGGCCTGACATCGATGGTCTAACTATGGCATCCCGATGGTGGCAACAGTTCGGCGGCGATGGTCCAACATAGGAGCGGTGGCCCGGAGTCTGTGTTTCGACAATGGCGGCTTAAGAGTGGTGCCAACAACGATATCAAGCACGTGACCTTTCTTTGGCTAATAAGTATAGTTAGTTTGTTGATATTGAGGGTCTAGATATAGTGACTTGACAAAGACGGTAATGGTTTAGAGACGACAACGACAGCTATGACGTCGATGAGACAATAGTGGTTCAATAACAATGACTATGGTCGAGCGACATTAGCTAGATGGCAATGGTCCGATGAATCCAACGACGATGATGGCAAAGGAGATGTGCTACAGTAGTTTGGTGATGGTGAAAACCGAGCAATGGCGGTTTGATGGTGGCATGATTGTAGCAGCAATGACGGTGGCCGAAAAGTGGTGGCCCGACAAGCACGAAGGAGGCGACGACCGAGCAACGGTAGTCCGATTGTGGCAGTAACTTGGCAATGTTGGTCCAGTGGTGGCCTGCCAATGGTGGTTGTGACTGCGGCGACCGAGCAAGATTGGTTCAACGGCCATAGTTTAGAAAAGTGGATTGGTCCGACCAGTTTGAGTGGCTCGATCATGAACTAGCCATAGGTTCGGTTTTGGTTGGCATAAAAAATCTCTATTGCATAGATCTACCCAAAACAACATTGAACCAGCGACTGAACCTTTAACCCAACAACCACCTCTTGTCTAAGGAACCATTTGGTCGTAGAGAATTCGTTATAGTGCACAAAATAACTAGCAACATTGCAAAACTCTATTTCGATCTTGGTCCTGATCCCGCCCAAGCTCGTAGATCGCACTTTGCTCTGCCATTTCTTGTCGTTGGTTCGCTGTTTGCTTGTAGGCATCTCACCAACTATTTCACCTTTGTCCAATTTGTTTTTCGTTGGATTCTCACTCGTATCCCGTTGGTACTTTGGCCTGCTCAGCTTCGTTCAAATTGTATAACATTGTGAATCTTTTAAATGATGTTTTTTGGGAATTTCATATTGATTGTAGAATCCACATCACTTCTCTTCTTTTCATTCTTTCTCACAAACTTCTCTCATGTTTTCATTTTGTGAGATTTTATTGATCTTCGATATCATGATGGTTAGATCAGGATTCATTATATGAAAATCATACAATTTTAAATACTTCTCGTAAAAAAATTTTATGAGGCTATATACAAAAAAAAATTAAAGTTTAAATGTGGATGTATGTCTAACATTGTGAAATATAAATCTTTTTCATAAGTAATTCTTGCCTTGTACAAAGATTTTTAGTTTTTTTTATAGAATCTAAGTTCTAAAATTTGGCCCTTTAAACTACAATGCATGTCACAATTTAACTCATTATAATTGTGCTTTTGAAGATTTTTATGCAATATTATATCAATCAAAGTTTAATTTGATTGTGATTGGAACAATATGAAAGGGAAATTCAATAGGTAGCAATCTTTTGAAGGAGATCAGAACCATATTATATTTTTTTTATTTTTAATTCTTTATAGAAAAATAATTTCTTAAATGATAATGGAATATTTTAAGGATGCAACACTGCGATATGTTGCACAAGAAAGTGTTAGTTATTTACATGCGATGTTTAAGAATACATATATTTTATATTTCATGATAAATTTTTTTATAGTTCACATACTACAACATTATTACGTCATGTAAGTTATATTTATTTTTTTTATATTTATGACGCCACCCACTTCAACCTCCGATTTAACTCTGGTACGATCTTTGAACCTTAAATCTCCCCCTCTATCTGTTCATTATACGGTCCAATTTTCGAAACATTGCCAACGGCGGAGATGGCAGCGACAACCGGGTAGCGGTGTTATGGCGACGACGACGGCTTCATGAAGGTGGTAGCAAAGATGGTCGAGCATCAATCGTTCTTTGATGACAACAATGCCTGGGAAGCAGTGGTTCTATGGTGATGACAACCGAGCATTAGTGGTCTTGTGATAGCGAGTCTATGTTGACAGTCAGGTGACGGCAAACTCGAGATTCCTCAAGAGCTTGGCGCTCGCTTCAGCCCTTCACCTTCAGGTTCAGGTTCCTACTTCATAAAAATAGTGAGAGACTTTATAAATTTGGTGATTGACATCTTTCGTAAATACTGCATGAATCCATATCACTTGATTGGACATGCCAGAATGATCTTTTTGATTGGGTGATATTTTATGCGTATCTATGTGCCTTAATGATGTCGTAATTAAGTGATCCCAGGTTTGTAGATTCATCTCGTCGAGGCGTTCGATTAACTATTAGCTTACCAAATTTGGAGATTATTTGGTCCCTTAAAGTATGCTTCAAAGCTTTTCTTTTTGTCTAAAATGCATGATATGGGCTTACTTGGATTCAAATCTGATCATGTTGTCATTTTGATTTTCTCATTGAGACACTTCATCTGATCATGAATTACAGTATAGTTATTTCCAAATTAATTGAAGTTTATGATCCAAATGTGCATCGTGATTTGTGTGGATCAGTATGATTATTTTAGGGACGTATCATGAATGCTTTTGAAAGAGAAGATTATAAGGGGGAGTTTATTCATTATATAGGCCTTCATGCCTAATGCTTCAACCCATAATGTAGGTGGAATTGAAAATTTTAGTCATAAGGTTAGAACATATCTAATAGGTAATCTTTACATTTGCCGACGCTATTTTTATGAGGTTTACAAGGGCATGTTATATGAGAAATAATTCTCTTGTTTTGAAAGTTATAAAATTTAAGTGGCAAATGTTCACCTCTAGTTCCGGATCTTGGATATATTTTAATATGAGATGAAAATTGAGTATTCGTATAAACATCAAATTTTAAAAGCAATGAATGCTCTAGGTTTCTGGTAAAAAGGGGTGAACTAGGTATAATTATTGTAACTATCAATGGCCGTCAAAAATTATTTATAATTTCCGTACAATATAACAATGGTAATGCTCCATTCTTCATGATGAATCAAACCAAAATGGTTTTTTTACACAACAACTATATACCTATTTCAAATGTAATTTATAATAATAATTGATATTAAAATAAATGCCAACTTAAATGAAAGGCTATCTTGTTGATAGGGAGTTCATTAGTTGACACCATTTTTACTCTTAACATTGGATTCAACTCTGGTGATGTGAATTTTGAGAAATTGGTATGTTTTTTGGTGTATGCATTGCAAAGTGGACTTTAAGATAGAACTTTATTGGAGATTTCGTAGAAATTTGAAGAGTTATTGTTCAAGCACATGGTGCTTATGGTTTAATCTCACCTTTTTTTGTTGAAAAATATATTGGTGTAGAGATATTAAATGATTGGCACTGTCTCATAGGTTTAGGCTTTTCAATTAAAAATTGATTTGGCCATTCAGGTATAACTATCAATTTCATTCTCATTTGGTCCAATCCCAAATAATTTGCATTATTATAGCTGATGTTTTGATTGAGATTGAGCGGCTCCCAGTTTGTCTCTCTCATGGGTCACTGGCGAGTTCTATCATGTTTGAGCAATGTTCAAAGGTGGGTCTCTCCCATGGTAATTTCACATAGTTGAGTGGGCTCTTGTTGCCTGATATTTGAGAGGGACTTATGGTCGATTTAGAGTTCATACAATGGGAAGATACTTAAGGCATGTGAGGATGTGGTTTTGACTCCACTTTGGATACAAAGTACTTGGCCCTCAGCCATATGCTTTAGTTTTCTGTTTGAAAATAGATATGATGATTGATGTATCTGGCCCAATTTCACTTTTTCGTTCATTTACTAACAATTACATTTGATGTAGACTCATGCGAGTTCTCTTTGCTGTAATTTTGTTTCTGTAGTTAAACTTATGGTTGGCTGTCATATTATTTATTACTTGAATATAGTTGAAATGCCTCTTTAACTTTATGTTTTTTTTCTCTAGGGAACTCTTAGATGTACATGTTTAGACATGACTTTGTGCAATTGCACCATGTCAAATGTCTATTATTAATGTTCAATTACAGCATGTCATGTTTCAATTATTAATGTCCTGGTAAATTTCCTCGTCGCTTAGATTTTTTTTTCACATTTAGGAACTGTGACTAGGACCAAGGCCTTGGTCTGAGGTCACCATGACTAAGAGAGTGAGGCAATGGCTCTCGAAGATTGCCGGCTAGTATAGGAGAGAGATTGAATTTGACACCCTAATAAATTTTACTGTGCATAAAAGAAAATTAGAGCAATTGATACTTCAATTCAATGTGTCCACATGGCCCTTGTGCTTTTAAATTCCCTAAGCAAACTTCAATTTTCAAACTTCTCATCCTCAATAGTTTAAAAATTAAATAACAGACCAAAACAAAAAAAAAAAGAGAAGATTTACAGAGACAGGATGCCTACAACCTCATTTGCATCATGAAATTTTAACTGAACCAATCAAGTAGTCCTGGAATCTAGAACTTATAACTTTAATAGATGACAGTATTTCATTCTTCGCAAAGTTAATTGGATAGAAATCCATGCACGTTTTGTACGTACAAAATTTATGGAAATTTAATATTCCATTTGTATAGTCAAAACTACACAAATATCAGACATTGCAGTTTTGACAAAAAAAATTGTGTTAGCGACCTTGCTTTGTACTCTTGAATCACTTAAAAACATTGTAGGGTTTCACTAACCTTCAAGAAAACTACATCATTTAGAATATAAATAAATTTTGTGATTACGAGGTACTTAACTAAATGTGTATTGTGCCATTAGCACACGTCAGTGCGTTATTAATGAAAAAAATTGGTGAATGGCGAAATATGGTACAAAATTTTATTTTACCTGACGATTGCATGAAGTTGATATTGCAAATAAATATTATGTGGTTTTTGGCTAATTTACATTTGTTTCCACAGGCGATGCCCCATCAGTTGTTGCCAAGGGTGGTTTTTCTGGTCTTTTCCCTGACTCCAGTGAATATGCTTACAAGTTTACTGCATTAACTGGTTCACCCGACACGATATCTTGGTGTGATGTTCAATTGACAAAGGATGGTATCGGTTTGTGCCTACCTAATATTAAATTGGATAACTGTACAGACATTTCTCAATACTTTCCTGATGGGAAGAAAAGCTATGTTATCAATGGGGTGTCAACAATGGGATGGTTTCCTGTGGATTATGATGCTCGTAGCTTATCAAATATTTCTGGTCAGTAACCATAACATTTCCATAAGTATGTTTTATTTGGAATTAATTGTTAATTAAGCCTCCGACAAAAACACTGAAGGCATGGATGAACTTCAATTTACTTTTCAACTTGACTATTTTTTGCACGAATCATGTCTAGTCTAGTGAGAAAGGTCTTTTATAAAGACTTTGTCAATTATGAGAGAAGAAATAAGACATGAAAGTCAAGATGCTTTCAACTTTGGAATTAAATGATGCTAACATTATTGGCATGGATGAACTTCCGTTTATCAGTAGTATATTTATTTTTCAAATTATAACCTAAAACTAGTAACTATGCATTCTTCTTTCTAAAATGTATGACAGTTATTGTACTTTGCAAAAATTTAATAAAATTAACTTGGTAAACTTCGGAATGGAATTTAACTAAAAATAAATACATGAAAATTATTGATTTCTTGCAGTATTTAATGTTTTCTACAAGTAATTGCTTTTAAGATACGGAAGCTCCAATTTGCTGCAGGGTTTTGCTAAGCGAATTACTTGCCTTGCATTATATTTCCAGTTTCACTCAGAATTATTTAGTTGAGATTTTAGTATTTACTGGTTCTGAAGTCATAACTTCCTCTTATATAAGGTAGAGTTGTGGCTTAAGGCTCAGGTTAAATACTGATAAGAATCGTTTGTAATTCTATCATATTCATGCAATTTCAAGAATATGGTAGGTATAAATTTTCATTTAACCGGTTAGGTGCAATTTCTGGAGGTTACTCTAAACATGTTCATATTGAATATAGTTATGAGTATTTTGTTTTTGTGGCTTAGACTGCTTAGTTAACTTGGGTGAAATTATATATCTAAAAGGGTGCTCACCTCTGGATGAAATGAATGGGGCATTACCTTGTTGGTTTTGAAGGAGTATCTTGTTTATGGAACTTCTTCGATGTTGACTATTATAATGAAAATTTTTAGAGAAAACAAAGATTATTAAATTTTATTTGGATCTTTTATATCCTTAGTCAAACACTTAAAAATTGACTATATTCTTATTATTTACCATCATTATGATCATCCTACTTTAGATAAAGCTAATGATGATGATAATTCTATTTTCAAACAGGCAGATGCTTGTTCATGAGTTTTGAAAATTTTTTTTTCCTAGAGTTGAGTTTGAGTTACTCTTGAATCCAGCTAGCTCCTATGTATTAAGCCATGGAACTCAAGCTTAAAGCTTGAGTCAAGCTCGGTAATGTTACTTGTGAGTTCGGTAAAATCGAGCTTGAATTCAAGTAATAGCTTGACTCCATTAAGAGTTAAAAGCATGGTTTAGGTAGATCGACGCATAAGCTGTTTGTATAAAGGCTAACAAGGATTTTAATTATTATTTTTTTTGTTGTTTTGTTTTTGTCAATATACTTTTGCGAGCCAATTTCATAATCCATTGAGTTATACGGAGCTCTAACATGCACTAGTAGCTTTATAAGATGAGTTCACAATCCAATAAATAAGTCAAGCTTGACCTGCACGACCCAATTACTTTCCTAAGCAAACCTATGCATTTAGTAGCTTTGATAAGATGAGTTCACAAGCCGATAAATGAGTCAAGCTTAGCTGCATGACCCAATTACTTCCCCAAGCAAACCAATGCATCTTTAGAATAAATGTTGAAAAGCAGATTTCTGATAATCTCCATTCATACTTTTTGAAATGTATAGAAATCCATACAATGGTGATTTTATGACAGGAATTTTAGTGGTAGTTTATACATAGCTTGGAAAGGAAAAAAAAGTCCTAAAGGAAACTATCAAAATACTGACGTAATCAATTTCTTTCTTATATCGGAGTTAAGCCAAAAAATAATAGGAAAGTAAATATATTACTGAAAAAGCAAAAAAGGAGATCACAACCCTACACTCTGAAATAGGAATACCAACAAGCACGACACATAACCTCGGCTATGGCGACTCCCGGGTGGTGGTGAGGCTGTTGGGGGTTGGGGAAAAGTGACAGTGAGGCAGAGAAGTGGAGCAAGGGTGCGCGTACAGTGTGGGAATAGCTGATGCTTTCTGTGCTCGACAGCAGCGCACAGGTAGGATGTCTGGGCAATGGTGAAACAACTAAATGAAATGGTTTCGGAGAGGAGGCAGTGAGGTAGGATGAACGTACAATGGTGAAACAGTAAGGACAGTGTTACCGGGCTGCGACAGCAATGCAAGACAGCTGGAAAGGCTGGAATTGATGAGGTAGAGCTGTCATGAGCGGCAACAGCCAAGGTGTGGCTGGTCCATTGCAACAACAGAAAAAGATGGGCGGGTTTATGGGTGGGTGCTGGAAGCAAGTCAAAATGGGAAGTGGGGTTCCTGGAAAGCGTCCACAAGTCGGAAGGAAGGAGTTTGGGTTTTGGAAATGCAGAGACAAGGTAGACTATATAAAAAAAGCCAAGGAGGGCTGTTTCTGGGTGGGTGTAGTAGGTACGGCGACGTCAGCAGTGGAGGGAAGAATGCAAAGGCAGGAACAGTTGAGGATTGTCACCATCTCGGAACAAGATGTAACCTGAGTACCACTTGCCCTTTTATACAACCCTAGAAGAGGAAGCCAGAGACGTGGCTGTTCCGACATAAAACACATGAAAAAATTTCTCTCCAAACTCTAATGCAATACATATATAGGAAATGACTAGAAAGGGAGGAAAGATAAAAAGAAACGTGCTGAAAATTGGAAAGAAATCAGAAGAACAGTCATTTGGTTCTGCTCCGCTCATCCGCGTGAACCTTGTGGTCACGGAATCGCGAGACCTCTGACTTTTGTGTCTGCCTATTTGACACCCGCCTCAGTTTCAAATTGAATCCTTAATTGATTCATTCAATTGGTATTTGAGTACATCAATGTGGAATGAAAGATTTATAGAGTTATCCCCATCTTGTTGCTAATTGGTTGATGCAAAATGTTACTGTTAATTTGGTCTGTACACATTTCATGAATTCTCATTTTTAAATGATTTTTATCGAGTTATATGTAAAACATTCTCTCTTTTTTTATGAACATTTTCTTGAACATTTTGTTTCATGTTATTTTTGTTGTACCTATTTTTATTCATAGTTCTTTCCCAAATTTTATTCACCCTCAATGATGCTTTTTTATCTTCTATTTCATATTACTAAACATTCATGCTTTTTTAACTACTTATCATAAATAGATACTAATTGGTTATTCTTTCTAATATGAACATTTTTTTTTAATTTATCCCTCGTATTTTAGAAATATTCCTTTCACAGTTTTCTTATATCTATTACACACAATTTTTGCTGTGAGAGGCTTCTTTGTTGCCCTACAATGAAATCCGCATATAGCATGATCTAATTACAATTTTTTTCTCTTCAGTCTCCAAATTATTCTTTTATTTCATAAGGCTCTTGAGGTATTTATGTATTATGGTGTAACCTTATCTATATCGTATTATTTTGTATAATAAATCTAATGTACTTGAAATTTTCACGTTAGAAATCACTTCATATTCAATACGTGAAGAATAGATGTTGAGCTTTATATTAACTCTATTGGATAGAAAATATCTTTTAACACTCTTAATTTTTATTACTTCTCCATTATAACTTTATTTCCTAACTTCAAAATACTTCTGACACAGACGTTGGGACATCCTATTACGAAGTTCTTTGAAGTTGTTAAGTAAATTAACTAGCTTTAGCATTTTTTATTTCAACTTGAGTAATAAATGTTGACTTTCTGTTATAACATTTACAAATGATTTTTAAGTTTTTACTCTCTGCTCGACTTTCTTCAAAAAATTGCAGTGATTCAAGGAGTTCTATCTCGATCTGATAGATTTGATGGTGCCTTGTTCCCTATTCTTACCCCTCAAGCTGTCGATGGTATGGTTAAGCCATCCGCCCTTTGGCTGAATATACAGGTACACCAACCGCATGAATTACTTTATTTAGTACTCTTGTCTTTTAAAAACTATCGATTAACTTCTATGCTGTCTTATGATGCAGCATGATACTTTCTACAGGGAGCACAACTTGAGTATGAGGACTTATGTTCTTTCTCTATCAAAAAGTGTTCCAGTGTACTACATTTCATCACCAGAAGTAGCATTTCTCAGCAGCATAGCATCTCGATTCAAGAGAACCAAGACAAAGCTTTTCTTTCGCTTTCTTGATGAGGACATTCCTGAACCTTCTACAAACCAAACATATGGTTCTCTTTTAAAAAATTTGACATTCATTAGAACATTTGCTTCTGGGATTCTTATTCCCAAGCAGTACATTTGGCCTGTGACATCTGACCATTACCTTCAACCTCATACTTCCATTGTTTCTGATGCGCATAAGGCAGGGCTTGAAGTTTATGCTTCCAACTTTGCTAATGATGCAATATTGAGCTATAATTACAGCTATGATCCGTTATCTGAGGTTCTTTCATTTGTTGACAATGGGGCCTTTTCTGTGGATGGTGTGCTGACCGACTTTCCGGTAACTGCTTCTGCTGCCTTAGGTAACGTTTTCTTGTTCTGTTATGGTCAATTGTTTATTTTTTATTAAGTAAGACTTAAATTTTAAAAGTTTTACTGTTTATAATGGAGTGAAATTTATTAGTTCATGTTTAACATCCACTAATTTAGTGATGCATATGGCATTTATTGCAGGTTGTTATTCCCATTTAAGCAAAAATAACTCTGGACTTGGTAAGCTTACTCTTTTCCCTTCTCATTAAAGTTGATGTTCTGAGCATGATTTAATACAGAAGTAGCGCCCTCCTACCCATACCCTAGCTAGCATCCCCGTAGGTACCTTGTGCCTCAAAGAAACCAACACCATTGGGGGAATCTCACTGATAAATGAATCATATGGGTGCTACGGGTGTATGGGTGCTAGTGGTGTAAAGGAGTCGAGTCGAGCTTAAGTCTATGAGTTTGAGCTGGCTCAAATATAAAATATTATTTTTTAAATATTTTAATAATTTAAAGATAAAGGGGGTGTTTGGCTGCAAGTAAAATTTAGCGTTATTAGGATTTAGTAAATCCATAAATCGTAAATATGTTAAATCCACTCCTTCGCTAGATTTATTAAACTCAGATTTAAGTTGAATCAAAGGTAAAATTTGGCCCTTAAATCCTAAATTTCATAAATCCATAGAACTTGCGCATTTTTTATGTTTGGTTGGATTTTATAAATTTGGCTATAAATTCTATTAATAGGTGCTACCAAACACCTCCTATATGTTGAAATTTAGTATATTTTGAGTATATTTTATATTACTATTTTTTAAATGAGTCGACTCACCAGATAATGAGTCGAGTCAGGGTTGACTTAAGCTTGGCTTGTTAGCTCCTCGAGCTCATTTCATGAGCCGCTTATCTATTCTTCGAGCCCGAGTCAGGTTGGCTCACTTAATTGGTGCACTATTTGTTGTATTTCTGGTGTACAATCATGTTGCATGGATGGATCTTTGCGACAAATCTTCATATGTTTCACAAAACACTTTTAACTCATTATCCTGCTTTTCATTTCTCTAGGAAATCCTGTCGTCATCTCTCACAATGGAGCTAGTGGTGTTTATGCTGATTGTACTGATTTAGCTTATCAGCAGGCTTTTGAGGATGGTGCAGATATCATTGATTGTCCTGTTCAACTGACACAGGACGGAATTCCAATTTGCATGAGTTCTATAAATCTTATGGATGTTACTGATGCAGCAACATCCAAATTACGTTCTCGTTCTTCTGTAGTCCCAGATATTCAGAGCACTCCCGGAATTTTTACATTCAACCTTACCTGGGAAGAGATCCAGCAGGATCTGAAACGTAAGTTGGAACTTTCTTTTTCAATTCTCTAAGAATAGCTGCATTTTTTTTTTGTTTGTATTTTATTCAGTATATCAATATCAACGCATCAAAATTTCTTTTTTTGTTTGTTTGAATTACTAGCCTCATCAAATAGTTTAGAAGAAAACGTTTCTAATGTAATTATTCTTTGAATCAGTGTCTTATAATTGTTAGCCGCTCTCACCTCTAGACATCATTTTAGATGTTCATTCTTTAAGAACACTGTGATAGGTTAGTTGAATTCTTTTAATAATCCCATCTTTATGCGTTGCAGCTGCAATATCAAACCCAGAAGTGAAGTATGGATTAACACGAAATCCACGAAATAAAAATTCTGGAAGTTTCATGAAGTTATCAGACTTTTTGACATTTGCAAAAAGTAGGGCGCTAGCTGGAATCTTGATCGGGGTTGAGGTAAGAACTTTTTTCTATATATTTCTAAGCGTTTGCACTTGAGATAAGGAGAGTAGCACTTAAATTGTTTTTATTTTTGGACTAGAGTATTATAAAAGTTTTTACAAATTGGCATTTATTTATCTTATACAGCTCAGAGAAAATTTCTTAATAAGCTAAGCATTTTATTCACGTACTTCATTTAAGTTTTAGAGTTCTGTAACTCTGTTCAACTTTTGGCATTCCAAATTCATAGCCAATTTTGTTGGAGGAAATACTTACAAACATATAGCCTTTATTTCTATGTTCCTTGAAACTTGACATAGACAGTGGACTAAACTTTGTTTGCCTTTTTTTGACATTTACTGGTCAGGAGAATGAGATGAGCATGGAGAATTAGTTTGCCTTTTTCTTCTTGGTTTAAAAAAAAAAAAAGTGTTCCCCTTGTTATAATGAATTTGCACTTTTTTCATTGTTTTCAGTATTCACTTGTAGTACTACACAAATATTACAATCTTGCTGTATTCACATAATCCATTAAAATTTTATTCTGTAATTAGCATGCAGCATTTTACGCAGAGGACATAGGCTACAGCGTAATTGATGCTGTTATTGGGGCCTTGAAAGATGCAGGATACAACAATCAAACCACTCAACAGGTTATGATTCAGTCCGCAAATAGCTCTGTTCTAGTCAAATTTAAGCAGCAAACAAATTACAAACTCGTCTACAAGCTCGATGAATCTGTCAGCGATGTAGATAAATCATCATTATCAGATATTAAAGGCTTCGCTACTGCTGTTGTGATCGGAAAGCAATCCGTTTATCCGACAAGCCAGCTTTTCATTACCGGCCAGACCGATATGGTGAAGACATTACAATCTGCTGGCCTTGCTGTCTATGTATATTTATTCAGAAATGAGTTTGTGTATCAACCCTGGGATTTCTTCTCAGACCCAAATGTTGAGATTAATTCATACGTTCAGTTCATTGGGGTTGACGGTCTCATCACCGACTACCCAGGAACTGCTACAAGATACAGGAGTATGTTGTTCCTTCTTCCCTAGCTTTTTACTGTAGGAAAAATCTTTAGAAAGATTTACATACATACCACTTAATTCTTACGTATTTACATATCTAACACCTGAACTATATATATATATATATATATAAATGATTTAGTGATATATGTATATATATGCCACCTTATCTATTCACCAAAGGGAGTATTCCAATTTTTAGAAGTTATAGTGGCATTTTTTAAGTGATAAGAAAGATTTAGTTGGTATAAATGTAAAAAGGGTGGCATTTACATGCATTCAACCCAATTCTTATATATTTACATACCTAACATCTAAACTATACTCTTTACATTTATATCTCTCAAATCTTTCATATCACATAAAAAATATCATTATTTAACTTTTAAATTGTGAAATATACTTTTTTATGCAGAAGATAAGGTGGCATATATGTAATAATTGAAGTATATGTGTTTGATATGTAAATGCGTAAGAATTAAGTGTTATGTATGTAAATTTCTCAAAAACTAAAGCTTAGGAGTTAGAGATGTAAATATTTAGGTAATAGGTGGCATGTATGTAATTACCCCCATTAAGTTTAATGCATATGATGCACAGATTCTTTTATTTACCATTCCTCTACTTCTGAAAACAGTGCTTTTAACTGATTGTTACATACTTTTCAGGAAATTCCTGCTTAAAGCTTGGTGATAAGAAGCCGAACTACATGCAGCCTGTAAGTGGTGGTCAGCTTCTGCAATATGTCGTCGCCTTGCCGCCGGCTTTGTCGCCAATGCCAATCCTTGATTCAGCAGATGTTATTGAGCCTCCGCTTCCTGCAGTCTCGACGAGACCTTCAAGCACAGGGGGCTCTGCTTTGCCACCTGCAGCTCCGTCAGGTGCATCGCGGAGTCTAATCAACTCTAGCTGCATCTTTCTTCTCATGCTTCTAGTACTTGTCCTATATTAAGATGATTTTTAGTAAGCTGATTAACTGGGTTTGGTTTTGTGTTGTAATCTTATGATTCTTTTTCTGTTTCTAACATCATCTGTGTGTGTTATTCTGTGATAAGTCAGTGGTGTCCATCCTTCATTCCATCTCCATTTTAAGATATTGTAAAACCTTCTTTAGTATATAGTAGCTACCATTGGTTGCCATTTCAGCCTGCACTTGTTCTTCAACAAATAACCCATAGCTTCCTTCCACTGAATACGTTTTTGTAGTTTGTGTATGGTAGGTTGGATTATGTTGGAATTTGATTTGATGTGTCAAATTAAGTTTTTTGGATTGGTTTAAGACTACCTGCCTTGGATTAGGTTACCATAGGATGTGTTCTTGTAATATATTCTAAATTTATTCTATGCCAACAAATTGAGGACAATGAACATTTTATTATATGTCTAACAAATAATATTTGTCCTGTTGGATTGTTTTCTACCTTTTGAGCTTTCTGTTTGATTTCATTTCAGAGCGAATGGATTTCCTCTACCACTTCTCCTTTGTTTGAAATTATTCCAACCTCCAGTAACAGAAAATGCCATTTGTGTATTTGTTACTGCTTTGTTCATTGATTTCTCATTGGTAGGATTAATTTCTTCTCTTCAAAGGAGTGGATACAAATCTTCTAGTCTTATAGACTGAAGTTCAGTGGAAATAGGGAAATCCTGTCAAAGGAGTTTAACAATGTCGGGCTTTAACTCCCAAACTCAATTAGAAAAAAGAATCAAAAGATAGTGTTGTGCTTCGACTCCCAAACTTGATTAGGAAAATCAATCAGAATAAGATATATGGCACCAACTCTCAAAACTCAACTAAAAGTAATCATAAAAGAATGTTGGGCTTTAACTCTCAGAACTTGATTGTCAAAATTAATAAGAAGAGGATGTTCGGCTTAAACTCCCAAAATTTGATTAGAGGAAACTAATTGTAAGAGGTTGTTGGTCTTTAACTCCCAAAACTCGATTAACAAAACTAATCAAAAAAGGATGTGGGGCTTACATCCCAAAACTCAATTAAAGGAAATTAATTGGAAAGAGATATTGGGCTTTAACTCCCATTCTTGATTAGGGGTACTAATAAAAAAAATTGTTGTAATGGATCAAAATATGTTGGGCATCTTATTCGCATTGATTGATCAATCGTTGTGCATCCTTATGAAAGGTGTGTCGCAACATAGCAATGCATTTTACAATACCAAACACCATTATGTGAAGGGGGTGGCATCTTTGGAAAAGGCTAACATTACTAAGTGAACATATGTGTGTTTAACCAATCATGGGCTAGTACAAAAGACTCAAAAAAATTCATATCACCAAAAAGAACAAAACCTAATAGGCATCTAGCTCACATCTATTGATTAACATAATGTTCTTAGAAAAGCATGTTAAGACGTGGCCAAGTGAGTATTACAACCGAACACTTGCATGCTAAAAGAGGTAGTGAACTTAGAAAATAAATTTGTTACTCAGCGACCAAATGGGTTTCTAAACAAACATCAGTTAGGGTGGCAAACTTGAAAAATTCATATTGCTAAAAGAATTGAAACCTAATGGGCATCTAGCTCATGTTTATCGATCAACGTAACATCCTTAAAAAAGGTATGTTGCAACATGGACAAGCGGGTCATACAAATAAATGCTCTTACTAGGCAAGCTTGAGAACAGGCATTGCCTTAACCATTGTGAGTTAAAGCAAGCATAAATATTTCTTCAGCTAACCCGTACCAATGTTGGGTTGAAGCCATCAGATCCACTGGGGTGAGTATATCCCTCAAACTTTGGGCCTAGATAACTTCAAACAAAATAAGAATATTAATAAGTTTCCGAATTTGAGGACTTGTTGTGGAAATAGTAATGGATTTGATTAATCTGGACCATAGCCTGAAAAAGCTGAACTAGGAAAATAGAGAGCAAAAATATCCCTTCAATTCTCGCCCTTATGGTGAAAGAATGATTCACTAGGGATAGATTCTGAGATTTATTAATTCAAACCTCACATATAAAGGATAAACTGGAACTAAGTGATTGTATGTTAGTATACATCATTTATAACCAGTTTGGGCATCTCAAAATTGTGGAGAATGGGGAAGGATCCCGTTATGGATGCCCAAAGGCTGAGCTGACTGGAAAAAGCCATATACCAGCTCAAAAGGCAATTTTCCCATGGGATGACTCTTGGGTCCTAGTACCTTTGTCCAACTTTTAAAGTCAAACAAAAAATATTGGAGAGGAAAAATGATTTTTCCTCTAGCAATCCCACAAATGAATATATAACTCGCACTAGGTAGTTCGGGGATCAAATTTAGTCAATGAATGACATTCCATCAATAAAATGAATTGGGTCCTGAAGAAGGAATCTTTGGGTTTTGGTATCCTGGAGTCAGTCATATGGCCAAGCTAGGGAAAAAAATTGGAGTAACCTCTGTTTCAATCTCCCTTGCAGGTAAGTATGTGACTCGTTTCATGGAAAGTGAGACGGGTCTTTTTTGGAATGATTTTAGTTTCAGCATCGTATACCTAATCATAAGGCCAAACTGAGAATGTTTAAGAGGCTTGAAGATTTCTCCTCTAGTGACTCTACAAATGAGTATATATGACTTTTGTTGGGGATTTTTTTGAGATTGGATTTAATCAATGAGTAATGTTCATCAATTGCATATTTGACTCTCTCTGAGAGCATTCTTGGGTTTTAGTATCCCAGACCCAGCCGAAAGGCTAAAGTGGGGATGTCAAGCTCTATCTCCCAGATAAAATTAGTGGATCAATTAAAAAAAAGTGTTTTGGTAATTGAGTCGAACTGGAAACATCTAAACTAGGGTATATTGGGTTTCACTAACCCAAACCCAACCAAAATTGATCAAACCAAGGACGAGAAAGGGAAAAAACCTTTCCTCTCATTCTCCTCAGATTAAGTGTGTGATTTGCTAGGGGATAATGCATATATCATCCTAACTCAAAGAATACACTGGTACATTTGAGTAACATTTTTTGTAAGGATGTATATATTTTAATTTTGTTAACCTAAACCTAGCCAAATTAGATATATGAGAATGAAAAGATTCGAGAAGCCATTCCATACTGATAAGACAAAATCAATTCCTCTAAAATCCTCACTAAAAAAATGAGATTGTTACTCAAAATTACAAGTTCCACAACTCAAATTTAGCTGAATTACTAAATGTAATCACAGACGGGAGAAGTACAATCCTTCCTCTTATAAATTCAAAAGACTGGATTCGTGTGATAGAAGAAGTCTTCTTAACACATGATCATCTTATCTTCTCGATCATCTCGAGGGAGCAAACATGACTCACCGTGAAAATAAAATATCGAACATATTCAGGTACTACACTTGACGATCCAATGTGCACCTCCTTTAATGATTATGAACTGCTAATCTAGACCCAACCAAGATTAGTTAAACTGGGGATGAGAGGTATATACATCCATCTCATATCTCCCAAAATGTAAATGTAAAACTCATTGAGGATATAACATTAGGTTTTGTTATTTAGACCCAACGAAATTGGCTAAACTGAGGTAGATGAGGATCGTGGGCCTTCCTCTCTAAAAATGTTGTATGCAAATAAGATCAATATCTCGCTAACATGAGCAATCCTTTAGGGATGGTTTTGGGTTTTGATAATCTGGACCCATCCAAGTGGTTATATTGAAGGAAAGGAAAGGAAGTTATAAATATATCTCTCGTACGTCCAAGTGTGGGTACATAGCTAATGTTGGGAAAACTAAATTTAAGTTTTGGAAACTCAGCCCTAGACAAATTGGCTCAACAAGGGATGTCTGGTTCTATTTCCTTGACACGGTTAAAAAATTAACCAAAAATGAAAATTCAATTTTGGTAATTTGAACCCGAATGAAATCAGACAAATCAAGAATGAATAAGATAAGTAAAAGTCTTCCTCTTAATTTATTCAAAAGATTGAATCCATGTGACAGAGGGAATAATTATCTCAAGATCAGTTTTTCCCTAAACTATGGAGCAACTCACGCTGGGGAAATATATAAACTCTTCTTCTCTTGAGGGAGAAGGGATCTCTGGGCCTTGGTTGCTTGTACCCAATTGAAAAGGTTAAAATGGGAAGTGAAAGATTTGAGTAACCATTCCACATTCATATGACATAATTAGCTTCTTTAAAATATTCACAAGAGAAATATTATGATTTAAAATCATAAAAATTGGTGGGTCAAATTTAGTTGAAGGACTAAATCAAAATATAGCTGAGAGAAGTACAAGTCTTCCTCTTATAAATTCAAAAGGCTAGATCCATTCGACAGAGAATGTTTGACATAACGTAAGATGATCTTATCATCTCTTTTACTTCAAAGAAACAAGTTTGTAACTCACTAAGAACACACATATAGACCCTATTTGAGAATTAAACTTATCGATCTGAGATGCGACTCTCTCAGGGGATATAAACTCGGGTTTTTTTTAATTTAGACCCAACTGAAATCGGTCAAACCGAGAATGATAAAGGGATGGAAATTACTCATACATCTCCCAAAGGCAAGTTCTTGAGTCACGTTGAAGGAGGGCTCCGGGGTCAAAGTGACTAAGGAGTCATATCCTATCAATTTAACACTGCTTATTTAGACCCAATATATCGAGATAAAATAATAATAAAAAAAAGAATTGAAATTTGATAGCACAATTCCGACCAAATAGGACAAACTAGGAGTCTCAAGAAGAGTATGTACCTTATTTCATAATATTTGGAAACCTGGATCCACACCAGAGGGAAAATTTACGATAAAACATGATCATTTCATCACCTCTTACCACAATGATTATGCCTCAATAAAATCAAACTTTGCTAAAGTAAACAATTTGCTAAGAGAAGCATAACATATATAGTGTAGGCAAGCACATAGTAGTGCATGATATCAGTGAAGTCATGCTTTGCTAAAATAAATGGCTTGATAAAGGATTCCTAACATAAATAATGTAGGTGAACACATAGAAATGTGGAGTATCAATAGAAGCTTTGCTAAAGAAAGTGACTTGCTAAGAAATTCCTATCGTACACATCGTGGGCAAACACATGAAAATGCAAAATATAAAAAATGTAGGTGAACACATAGAAATACGGAGTATCAATAGAAGCTTTGCTAAAGAAAGTGACTTGCTAAAAAATGCCTAGCG